AAGGGTGAGGGAAGGTGGAGCAGAAAAGGAGGGGAGAAAGGAGAGGAAGGTGAGGAGAGAGGACAGGGAACATAAAATGAGAGGTTATTTTAAACTCAACGTGGGGAAGAATAGGTGAGGATGGAATAAAGGGAGGGAAGGAAGAAGGAGAAGCAAAGAAAGGGGATAGGTCAGGTTAAACTAGGGAACCATATGAATTAAAACAGTGTGTATAGGAAATGCAGTTTTAGGGGTGCCTGGGTGGCTCAGTCAGTTGAGCGTCTGGCTCTTGGTTTCAGCTCAAGGCATGATCCCAGGGTCATGAGATTGAGCCCTGTGTCAGGCTCCCCACTCAGTGACGAGTCTGCCGGAGATTCCCTCCCTCTGGCTCATATGCCCTCTCTCTCTGTCTCAAATAAATAATAAATCTTAAAAAAGAAGAAGAAAGAAGAAGAAGAAGAAGAAGAAGAAGAAGAAGAAGAAGAAGAAGAAGAGGAGGAGGAGGAGGAGGGGGAGGAGGAAGAAGAAAAGCAGTTTTATTCTACTCAGGTATTTTCTGCTCATTTACTCAGCAAACGTGTATTGACTAGCCACTCTGGGCCATGCTCTGTGTTTGGTGCTGTGAACATTACCTGCCTCCCCCAGGCTGCAAGCAGCCATTCACAGTGATGGGTGGTAAATTCCACGACGACAGTGGCAAGCCCGAGAGGACTACTCACCAATCCTGCGGGGGCACACAAATTCCCTGAGAAGCCATCTGTCCTCTGAGCTGAGGGGTCAGTAGGAGGTAGCAGCCACAGAGAGTGAGCCCTGAGAGAACAGCCAGGCAGAGTGAGGGCACAGGACAGTCACAAATGTCGGGATGAGTGCCTGCAGTCAGGCAGGAAAGCCCAGCAGATTAGCACGGAAAAGTAAACAGGGACCAAATGAAACAGGGTCCTTGTGACAAGTTAAGCATTTAGGGCTTACATTACGCCTGGAAGGGTTTTTCACATGGGAGTATCTTACCCACCTTTACTTTTTAAAAAGATCATTCCAAAGGAAAAAAAAAATCTGCAAATATTGAACTTGGTTAATGATAAGGATGCTCAAATTATTTAGGAGGAAGTGTGTTGAGGTCTGTGATCTACTTTGAAATGCATAATAGAAAAGAAGACTGGAAGCCTGGCTAGATGTGGGACAAAGAAAGTACAGTAAAATGATAATGCTATAATCAATGTGGTGCATATAAGGAGGTTCACTGTAAAATTCTCTCAAGTTTCCTTATGTTTGAAAATGTTCATAACAAAATATGGGGAAATCATTAATTGAATTTAAATTTTAATAAATAAGGATATTCCAAGTAGGAACTCTTACAGGAATTTTGTTAAACAGCCAAGAGGCAATTTTTTACAGTTTAACTAATTAATTAATTATGGGGAAATTTGATCATTCTGACTGTTGGGATAACATTCTAGAGAGGGGCAAGGGAGCCAGTGAGGAGGTGGTTGCAGTACTTGAGGCAAGAGGGGCTCATGGCCCAAAAACTGGGGAGAAACAGGGATCAAAAAATTTGAATTCAAGAGATATTAGGAAGCTACATCAACGGTTTGGTGATGGAATGGCTGTGGAGGGAAAGAAGGCCAGGGATAAACAACAAACCTGCCTGGCCAATAATCAATTAAGAGTTGAGCAAGGATGGGGGCACCTGGGTGACTCAGCAGTTGAGCATCTGCCTTCAGCTCAGGGTGTGATCCCGGGGTCCTGGGATTGAGTCCCCATGTTCGGCTCCCCATGGGGAGCCTGCTTCTCCCTCTGCCTATGACTCTGCCTGCCTCTCTCTGTGTGTGTCTCTCATGAATAAATAAATAAAATCTTAAAAAAAAAAAAAAGGAGTTGAGCAAGGATGACCAATAGATTTGGAGATGAAAAGAAGGACTCATAAGGCCCATGGAGAACTCTGAATCACCAATGTCTCCTTCAACTGGCCTCTGGCTTCAGAGTCTCACCAGGACACTCCTGGCATGAATACTTTGCTTAGTCAGCTCTGGAGCTCAGTGGGGAAGTCAGTGGCCCTGACACCGGGGCACCACCGCGGCGACCTCACCAGCTGGGGGAGAGTCGGAGAGGGGCTACTTCCGGGCTGGGGCTGGGCTGCGCCTGCTCACCTCCCGCCCAGAACTGCCACAGCAGCTCTGCCCTTGTCAGGGTAAGTGTTCTGTTTTCTCAGAATGAAATTGTTTGAGGTCAGCCGCTTCAGATGGCTTCATCCACAGCCAGCTTTATCAGCTTTCAGTTACAAAACAGATTTCTCTGGAAGACTCATCACAATAAAGCAAAAACGAGTTTTCCTCTAGGGCTGCAAACTGCCTCTTTTGCTGGAGCAGATGCTGGGGGGATGGTTCTGGGAGAGGCAGCCTCCAGAATCCCTCCCTCCCCCGGCACCTGCGAGGACTGTAATTTCAGCTCATTTACCACAGCCTTGTCCTCGAGAAGGTTGGCAAGCCCCTCCTCGTCCTTCTTCCCTCCCTGTGAAGGACGTTTACATTGAGGACCTGTTTGCATCTCCATAATTACTTCTGTGCCTCATTGCTGGATTCCTGTCCCTGTCACGCCCCCAGCCTTGGGAGGCTTAGAAGCCTCTTGTTTGTGGGAACTAAAACAGGACAGGCCTGCCTGCTGTTCCCCTGCCAAGGGGATGCCCGTGGAGAGAGACCTGTGGTGTAGAAAGGCAGTATGGTTTGCTATCGGGCCCTAAAAGTGGGACCCCTAGTTCCACTTAAGGACATGGGAGGCTGGGCCAGTAATCGTCACTGTTCCCAAATAAAGCAGACACAAGCCCCCCACCTCTAACACATAATCTGATTCTGACGTTTGATTTTTTCAAAAACAGACTTCACTTGGGACCCAGACAGCGTCTACGCTGGAGGTAACCCACTCAGCTGGTCCTTATGCAGCGGACAGTGTCCACCTGAGTTCAGATCCTAGCTCTGCCCTCCCCAGCGGAGCCTCAGGCTCCCCATGGTTAAGCCGGGGAGGGCATTCAGGTTCGGGCCATTCCCAGGGGTGAGTCAGACCATGTACCGAAGGCACCAACCCAGCCTGGGCCCTTCAGGGTGCTCGGCCCTCAGTGGCTGTGATCACCACGGCGGAGCACTCCATTTCCCAGCATGCAGGCTAACTCCTGTCTGCACATCAGCTGTGCACCTGAGCAACACAGATGGGCTGTTTCCTTCAAGTATAAAAATCCTCTTATTATTCTAATTTCCTACGTAATGGTTAACGCCTCAGTCACCTTGGCTGCTTGTAACCTTGGAGAGGGGACTTGTTATAAGAAACAAGCAAGGAGGGATCCCTGGGTGGCGCAGCGGTTTGGCGCCTGCCTTTGGCCCAGGGCTTGATCCTGGAGACCCAGGATCGAGTCCCACTTCGGGCTCCCGGTGCATGGAGCCTGCTTCTCCCTCTGCCTGTGTCTCTGCCTCTCTCTCTCTCTCACTGTGTGCCTATCATAAATAAATAAATAAATAAATAAATAAATAAATAAATAAATAAATAAATAAATAAATAAATAAATAAATAAATACAGCCAAGGAGGGACACCTGGGTGGCTGAGGGACACCTGGGTGGCTCAGCGGTTGAGCCTCTGCCTTCGGCTCAGGGTGTGATCTTGGGGTTCTGGGATCGAGTTCCACATCTGGCTCCCTGCATGGAGCCTGCTTCTCCCTCTACCTGTGTCTCTGCCTCTCTCTCTCTCTCTCTGTGTCTCATGAAGAAATAAATAAATCTTTTTTAAAAATTAAAAAAAGAAAAAGAAACAGGCAAGGAGAGGAGCTCCTTTTCTAGCGTTTTCGTCATCTTTGGGCCTCTCCCAAGAGTCCTGTTCAAGTTTTGCAACCTCTCCTGGTTGAGAACTTTCTTGTGAACATGATCACTGCTGAGGACACTTGTAGAATATGTCATGGGACAGGGGTCTCCGCGTGCTCAGGGAGGCCATTTCATGGGTTGTGATGGGACTTATTTGGTTTTGCTGGTTTGGGCTGTGGTCACACATTTAAATTCTTGGGTCTCAAAGGCCCTGCTTCACCTCTGTGTCACTGTGTCTGTTCGCTAGCAGGAACCTGACAGAGGTCACTGTCCCTCAAGCCACCAGGTGGTGCATCCCAGGTGTCTGAGCTGACAAAGGGGCAGGTAGGGCTGCGTGCAGAACGGGTCTGGGGCCCAGAGACCAAGGCTAACAGGATAAAGGAGAATAATTAAAGCTACTAAGATTTACTCTGTGCCGGGCACGATGCCAAGTCCTTTCCGTGAATTCTCTCTTTCGTTTCTTCCCCCCAGCCATCCCTGTTATGAAACAGCCCTTAATACAGACGGGCAGACTTGGAGAGTTCGCCCCTTTCTCCGGGTCATCCAGCCGGCAACGAGCGGAGCCCAGAGCAGAAGTCAGTAGCGGACCAGAGCCAAGGATCCTCCCCGCTACCGCTTCTCTGAGAAAGTGGAAGCCCGAGCTCCAGCCACAGGAGGCCCCTCCACCTCGGGAGATGGATGCTCTTCAGCTGGAGCCACCTGGAGCTCTGCAGCTGCTCCTGCTTTAACTGGAGCCACCTGGAGCTCTGCAGCTGCTCCCAGACTCCTAGGAAGGGGGGTGGGTGATAAATGGGCCTGACGGCAGCCCCCAATCTCAGGACGTAGAAGGGAGTGGCTCCTGCCTTGAGGGTAAGTATGAAGAAAGCGCTAGAAGGGGCAGCATCTTTCCTCTGTTCCCCTGTTACACCATCCCTCCTACTAGGGTCTGGGGGACTGTCGGGCCAGGGGCTCCTGGGGGGGGGGTGGTGGGTGAAACTAAGGACGCTGTTGTTTCCCAAAGTGTCGGGCATCTGAGGCAGGATGCTTTTCTGCCTTTCTTCTTCCAGTCTCTCGTTCCCCTCCCTCACGTCACCAGTACTACCCAGAACTGAGACTCACACTCACTCCTTGGGACAGTGGAGGGGATGGAGTGGGTGTCCTATCACACAAGCAGATGTATCTCCTGTCTGCTGTAGGCCATGGAACGGTGGTGGCAGCTCCTGTTAGGGCTGTGGACGGTCATGCCTGTCTGGGCTGGGGACGAGCTGCTCAATGTCTGCATGAAGACCAAACACCACAAACGAGAGCCTGGCCCAGAAGACAAGCTCTATGAGGAGGTATAGAGGCTGGACCTCGCCTGGGAGTGGGAGTGAGGCTGCTTTGGCAGAGCAGGGAAGGGACACAATTGCCAAGATGGTTTCTGAACCACCATCAACCCTGACTCATCTGGTTCCTTGCGTTGGCATTTGGGCAAGGCCACTGGAGGGACAGTGTGGCCCCTAGAGAGCAGAACTGTTGAGTGCTTCAAAGTTCCCATCTCTGGCTGCTTGGACACTTGGGGAAAGGGGCAGATGGTGATCCCAGAGGCCCATCACTGGTTCAGCTTAGATCAAACAAGGTCCTCCTTCTTTAGCCTTCCTACCAATAGCCACTGGGGAGACCTAGGTCTTAGGTCCCCTGACCCAAGGGTCCCCTTGACCCTTCCTCAAGCCTGAAAAGCCACTGACGGGAGCAAGGGAAGAGTTGTGGAGCTGCCTTTTACCTGTGAGCTCTGCTGGGCTCTGGTGCCCTTCCACCCAGTGCTCCACATTGCCCTGGGTGTTGTGGGGTTCCTCTGCTACCCCTCGGGAGCTGAGACCCTGGGACCCCTGTCTCCAGGGGACTTCGCAGTCCATGGCAGGGAGATTGGTGGGCAGGTGCCCTTTGGCTGTGAATTTTGACATGCCTCAACATTTCTTCTGTATGAGTGTTGCTGGCCTGAAGGCCTCCCACTTGCCCAGTGGGACAAAGGGGACAGGTTTACCTTTCTGCCCTAGACCCTCCTGAGTCTCCTACGTCCTATCCGACCCCCAGCCTTTTACTGCTTCATCCCCTCAGTGCATCCCCTGGGCAGAGAAGGCCTGCTGCACAGCCAGTACCAGTTGGCATGCCCACCTGGATGTGTCCCTGCTCTACAACTTCAGCTTGCTTCACTGTGGGTTGATGATGCCAGCCTGTGAGGAGCACTTCATCCAGGCTGTCTGCTTCTATGAGTGCTCCCCAAACCTGGGGCCTTGGATCCAGAAGGTCAGAAGGTGGGGCCGGGGAGGCAGGAGACACGTCCCCTCAGGTGCAGTGCCCTGTTCCTAAGGGCACAAGGTCCACGATGCTAGCGGTAGCAGGATGCGCCGACCCCCTACAGACAAGAGCAGAGCCAGGGGATGGGTTGGGATAAAAGATGGAGAGGAAGCCACCTCTGGCCCCGGGAGAAGGGCAGGGGAAGGGCAGGGGGGAACAGATGGGAACTGTAGGATGAGGACTATTCGAATCCCATCTTCTGGATGTAGGAGCTGTGTAGCCTGGGCCAAACAACTTAGCCTCTTAGTGAAGTGATGCTCACAGGCTTCATAAGCCAACACCCTCAGACGGCCCCTGCACAAGTAGCCTGTGGCTGCCGAGCCTCCCCGGAGCGGGGCTATCAGCAGCCTTGTCTCTTGCGACGCCTGGACCCAGGTGGACTCGAGCGGGCAGGGAGAGCGAATCCGGGACGCGCCCCTGTGCCAGGAGGACTGCGAGCAGTGGTGGGAAGACTGCCGCACGTCTTACACCTGCAGGTCCGACTGGCATGGCTCCTGGGACTGGAGCAGGGGTGAGTGGTGCTGGCAGGGCCCCGGGGGGGGGCAGGGCAGGGCAAGGCCCTCTGCTCCCCGGGGCAAAGGGGGGGCCGTGAGGGCGGGCGTGGCGGGAAGTGAGCGACACCCCCCCCCCCCCCCCCCCGCCCAGGGAAGAGCCGCTGCCCCGCGGGGGCCGCCTGCCGCCCCTTCCCGCAGCACTTCCCCACGCCCGCCGACCTGTGCGAGAGGGTCTGGAGCCACTCCTTCAAGGCGAGCCCCGCGCGCAGGAGCAGCGGCCGGTGCCTGCAGAAGTGGTTCGAGCCCGCCCGGGGCAACCCCAACGAGGCCGTGGCCCGCCTCTTCGCCGGCGCTGCCCCCGCCCGCGGCCTCTCCTGCCGCCTGGCCGGCCTGGCCGCCTTGTCGCTGCTGCTGCTGCTGGCGGTCCTGTCCGCGCGGCCCCTCCTGCCTCCTCCAAGGGAGCAGCACGGCCGGGCGGCTGCTGGGCCCCTGGCTGGGGGAGCCTGTGCCCGAGCCTGAACGTTCGGTTCTAGGCGCCTTCGCCGCCCTGCCCTGGGAGCCCGCCGCGCCTGCCCTCCGCTCTGCGGCCCCGAAGGCCAGCGGGCCTCGCCGGCCCTTCTGATCCAGCCCCCCCCCCCCCCCCGCCCCACGGCAGAGCCGAGGCTCACGGCTCTGGCCTCCCTTCCCGATGGTGCCTCCAATAAAACAGCAGCTAACTTTTCCTTTCTGTGTGAGCCTCTGTCCGGCTCTGCGGTCGGGGCCAGCTGCCCAAGGAGGGGGCCGGTCTGTCGGCCGCGAGGCCTCCAGTGGCTGCTGCTTAACCAGGAGCAGTCAGCTCCTCCGCAGGCGCGGGACCGCTCGTTAGAGCCTCGCAACGCCCCCGTGGGAAGACTTTCAATACCTGCTTTTGCCTTTTTTTCAATAAGCAGCACATCACACACACAAAAGACCCGAAGTCACGGTAAGGACCACCCAGCCCTCAGCTTTATCTTGGATACAAGATTGAAGCCCCTCACCTGCTCTAGGCGCCTCCTGTTCTTTTAACCCCAGGCACGCAATGCACAGTTCTGGAATTTCAGAAGCCAGAGCTCTAACCTGGTTTTACCACTTTCTATATGACTTTTGGTGAATCTGTTGGCCTTAAGACTGTCTGTGCTTCCCTCTGCCCTGAGAGGAATGAGGGAGCTGGACCCCATGATTTTAACTTACACAAAGAAAAAGGAAAAAGCCAAGGCCATTGTGTTGGGATATAGTCTGTGCTTCTCAGGCAGTGCCACACCCTAAAGAACAAGACAGGTGAAGTCTCAACTCGGGAAGGGGCACTGGGGCAGCCTTTACATCCCATCTGTAAGTACAGTGGGAGCCAACCTACCCACTCAGAACCTTCCGGAACCCGGAGCCCAGCAGCTTCTCAGCATAAATGGTGCCTTCCCTACAACCTTTTCTTTGACAAAGAGGGTTTCTGATGTATCTGCATCTGAGGTAGTTGGCTTTTCTGACAATCACTCATTCTTACCAGACACCAGCAAGCCTTGTTCATCAGTCTGTCTCTCTTCCTCCCACACTTACCCTGAATGTGTTCCTCACTGCACAGACCCTGTAACAGGTAGGGCACCAGAGTTCTAAAACCAGTGAGGACAGACCTCATAATTGAGGTGCTCCGTCTGGAGTAAGAAACTGACACTAGAGGTTTAGACAAAGCACTTGGCTGGAAGCCTGCAAGAAGGGGGACTGGGTGGGGGTCCTCACACAAAGAGGTGATGCCTGAGCCCCGTGAAGATCACTTCATTAAGAACAGAAAATAAATGCCAAACCAACACCACTGAGTCCCTAAAGCACAAACTATCTAAAACAGGAAGTTTACTTGCTCTTAAATGAATTGATAAATTGGGGCTGTAAAAATATAGGTAAAATTTCTTAAGCCTTGAGGATTTGAATGAAGTCTGAAGGTATATACGTATGTGACAATAAAGCTGAGAGTTTAATGAATTTTTAAAGAATATTTTTAGGTAAAAATATAAAAATAATGTAAGGTTAAAATTGAGATCACCAAAATAAGATTAGTTCTGGGAGCCCTAACAACGGCTACTGTTTGTTGACCACGGACTCTGTGCCTGGGACTCTGCTAGGCTCCTAACATGCATCAGCTGCTTGGATCCTTTCAAAAGCTTTGAGAGTCACTCTTACACCCAACTTTCAAATGAGGCCAGACATACATGGGTTTGAAACCAGGTAGGTCTGACTCCACCGTCCCGGTTCATGAAGCTTACACAGAGCACCCTGGCAAGTGGGATCGGGGCCGAGGGTAAATGCAGGGAGCAGAGGGAGAGGGGGCAGGCATACAGCAGGTCACGGTCAGCAGAGACTAAGATTCTCCCCGTATGTGGTTAGAGGAGTGACAGTTTTCAGTAGTGGAGAGGAATTGTCAGATTTGCGGTTAAGCGATTTGTCTTAAGCAGAGAGATCCATGCATGTGGCTAAAACACATAGGTCAAAGGATCTCTAACACGGAACAACAGAGGCCCAGCCAGTCAGCCCCTTGGTTCAGAGGTACCCACTTTGAACCCTTTCTGGATTTAGCTATGAAAATGTTACAGAAGATGGTTTATCTTTTCTAGCACACAGGCTACCTTTCTGCTCTCTGTTCTGATTGTTTCTTATTCTTCCAATCTTTTTAAATGTGGCAATCCACTTCTAATTTCCAGGAGATTTTTTTTTTTTTAATTCCCTTCTTCACAGCCTGCTGGTTTTGGTTTTATGGATGTAATATCTTCTCAAATCTCACTGAGGATCTAATTAGAATTTTTTTAAGTCTTTTTTTTTTTTTTTTCTAGCGTCTGAATGATCTATTTCCTCCCAGGGCAATCTGTTCTGTTTCTGTTCATCTTCTGCGTGCTGCTCATTTTCTCGGTGTCTGGTGACCTTGGCTGTGTACCCACATTTAAGGATGACAAGCTGGGTTGATTTTTCTTGCTAGCTAGTATAGGTGTCCTGTGGTTCTATCTGTGGCTCTTTCCCCTGACTAGCAAAGCTGATGGGGACTTCTGGGTGTACAGGGGAAGGCTTGTTGGCTAGAAGACTGCTTCTGAATGTGGAAGTAAATGAGAACAAGCAAAGACTGTCGGGTCAGAGCTTACTGTAACAAGGAAGTCAGCCACCATCACCTGAGTTTTGACAGAGACTCAAAGCAGACAGAGAGAGAGAAAGCTTTAAGGTGGAAAGCTTCTGGTATGCCCTAATGGAGGCTGTTAGCATAGGGAAGAGGTAGGCAGGCCAACTAGAGGAGGGCATCCTATGTGATTGGTTAGAAATGTGTATTCGGCTTTCTCTGAGTGATCCTCGGTTGCAAGTAGGGATAACGATTAGGGAAACTGTCATTCATTAATCAAGTCCTAGCTGTTTGGAGCTGATTGTAAAAGGGATAATTGTTTGGCTTCCTGGGCTCATTAAAATGGTGGTCTAACCTCCTGTAAATCTGATTTAGATAATAAGTTGGCTTTCTGGGCTGATGACTGCAGATAATGGATTAAAACTATTTTTATATACACCTGGCCATTGTCCATTTGTATGTGCAATCTCTCGAGACTCAGTTGGCAGGAGCTATATTGAACAGCAGACCCCTCAAATACTGCAGTAAAGATGGTTCTTGGGCCACTCGGGTGGCTCAGCAGTTGAGCGTCAGCCTTTGGCCTGCGGTGTGATCCTGGAGACCCGGGATCGAGTCCTGTGTTGGCTCCCTGTGTGGAGCCTGCTTCTCTCTCTGTGTCTCTCATGAATAAATGGATGGAATCTTAAAAAATAAAATAAAATCTTAAAAAATAAGATGGTTCTCTTTGGCAGAGGACATGGGGGTTAGGATGTAGAGACATTTTCTCTCTGCTCCTCATGGTCCAGCTCTGAACCCAGAGCCTCTCAGAGGTTCTTCCTGGAAGATGAGCTCCTCATTCCACTGCAGCTGCCTCTTCCACTACTTCTGGCCACCACTGTTCCCTTTGGTGTATCTTCCAAATATTTATTGAAATCTCTTATTCACTGATGGTTTCCTTCATGTGCTCTAGTAAAGGAACATTTAGAAATAAACATTTCAGTGTGACCCCAGTAATTCATTCTACCTTCTCTAACCAGAAACTGCAGGTTTTAAAAAAGATCTTTTGTTATATAAAGAGAAGATATAAACGGGGCCAAACTGGAGACAAAGAGGCTGAGGACAATGTGTAGGATGAAATATACAGGAGGGGAGTGACATAAGAAAAGCAAATAGTAGGAATTTAATTGTGAGTAAAGCTCTAGGAAGCATTAACTCAGGCTACAGGAGAGACAGTGAGCCAGATGGTGGGAGATTCAGGAACTATTAGGAAGATAGAGCCTATGGAAATTTGGACTATACTTTTGTACACAGTGCCACAAAATACATATAAGATGAAATGTCGGAGAAGGAGAACTACCACAAAGGAAACAGCAGCCTTGGATAACTCAACTCTGATGCTCCAATTTGTAAGACGTATTTTCTGTAGCCTAGATTGTACCAGGCAGGTCTTGGGTAGAGGACATTCCTTCTACTGGTTGCAACTCATTCACTTTTCCACTGGGAAAACATCAGATCCTGTTCAAGTCCTTTCTCAGAGAATGCTGGGAAGTTCTGGGTAGCAGGTGGAAAATGAAAACACTATGCTTCCCTTGCTTCAAGATTCCTTTATGAGTAACTTTCCTTAGTAAAACTTTATATCAAAGTGAGAAAGTCACTGCAACCTGATATGCATGCACTGGGATCTTGTTCCCCGATTAAACTCTCCTGCCGGGGAAGGAAGCACTCCTTCCATTCCTCCTTCACCACATCACTGCCCACTCCTTTTCCCACCCCATCCCCACTGACCCCCTCCACAAAAATGACTACTTCCTTAGGTATTTTCTTTCTTTTTTTTTTTTTTTCCTTAGGTATTTTCCATTGTCCCATTGCTTTTACTTGGGCTTGGGGATGGAAGATGCAGATTTGAGATTATTCTGGTATCCAAGGCAGGTGTCGTTCACACTAGATCCCATTTCCCACTCTAGGCCTTGAGACAGCTTGAATGTCCAGTCTCTCCTTGCATCTCAAAGGGGCAGTATTCTTGCCAACAAAATCAATCACTTGTTTTCATTGCCCATCTTTCTACTCTGCTCACATCCATCCTCAGGTTTAACTCCCCACAGAACTGGAAACAACTTTTAGTAGTGATTTTGCTACAAATGAACCAAATAGAAAAGTCTGGAGGAAGAGAGAGGACTTCCCAGAGAGGAGAGGCTAATTAGAGGCTTGGAGATGCTAGTGACACAATCAGCATAGAGCTGTTTATCAAACAATTAGCTTGGGGTACATAAGAGGTCAGAGCTAGAGATAAGAATTTTGGAATCACTTCTCTGGAAGTGTTATTTGAAGGCTGTGGAAGTAGACATGTTTTCTAAGAAAAATGTAGAGAGAAAAATAAAAAGCGTGTGGAGAATCCCTAACTTATGGTTCAGAGATGACAAGGAAAATGGAG